CGTCGACGTTCTCGAAGGCCTATCTATGTCCCCGGTCCTGAATTTGACCTTAAGCTTTGTTCCTGCATCCATTGGTCCATGTAGGTAATCCTTGAACCCTATTCCTTCTTTCAACATTCCGTACACTTCTAGACCCTCCTTGTCCTTGGTTTCTTTCCTTAGATTCTGTTCTTTTCTATCGGCACAAGCAACAGATATCTTCTCCTTGAACCCCTGTAGACCCTCCGTTTCGAGCGTTTCATCTTCGTCGATGTCGAACCCCTTCCATACGTCCTCTACAACCTTGGACCCATTCTGTGGGTTGTCTACCCCTCTTCTTGTTTGCCCACTTCGCCTTCCCATACTATTCTCGGCAACTTCTCCTCTGCCATCCCGCACATGCGATACTGCCATGCAAGCTTCCTTGCGTCTCTTCCCGACCGTAGGGATTTGATCCCCAATTCTGCCCTGGACGGCTGCATTACTTGTATTGTGCGCTTGGAGCATCCTAGCATGATCTGCTGCTTTCATCTGCGCCGCCTCGAGTTCTTTCACTACCTTCTTATTTCCTTCCCATACTTCTGCGGCGTACTCTAGCGGCGGTACGATTACGCTCTTCAAAACCGTCAATTGGATGCGTGTATCGAGGTGCCGGTTTGCGAGTATTGGGTGCAGCTTCCCCTGCTCGTGCTTTGCCCTTTTCCGCTACCTTGGACATGTGTGCATTCCACGAGCAGTCTTTTGCGAATATCTACTCCGAGGTATGTGTACTGGTGGGGGGGTGGGGGGGGGAGGTACTCATAGTCGTGCATGCCGTAGTCGTCAGACCATTGACCGCGCATCCCTACAAAGCCGGGACGGAGCATGCCGGGTTCTCACCGGACCAGGCTCTCACATCACCAAGCGTGAAGCGCCGTGAGGTATTCGGCGAGTCGCATGAAGGGTGAGCTGCATCCTGCTAAGGGTGTTCGGCATCTTGTGCTTACTTGCTTGCATACGGATGACAGCTGCGTATGACTTAATTTATTTTCTGGTGCTTTCACTTCCAGAGACAGTTGTAAGCACTGTGTAACTGTCTCGAGGATGCTTGACCATTAGCACAACATGGTGCGATCATCCCCCTTGCGCGGAGTGAGGGTTCTCCACTCCGCACAACATGATCTACTCGACCACCATTATGGTTACCGCCAAAAAAAACAGAGGTAAAAAAAAACGAACGGTAACCTGGTTGCCGAGTTCACGAAGTGAATTGGCTTGTTTTTACAACGTCGTTGCCAAGCGACGAAAACCCAACCCCGATGGCAAACACCCGGGGGGGGGGATGCGGGTTGTTCGTGTAGCGTCAGCGAGTAGTACAGTATGTATGCTTTTTCTTTCTACCAAGCACCATCAGCACTATGTACACAATTGGTGCAACTGTAGGGCCGGCATGCACCGGCCCTACAGTATTAAGAGTTGGAAATCCTCACGAGTTGTACTCGCACCCACACAATGAGCAACATATATATGTTTGCACGGACAGAGAAAAAGCGTGCCGCCACGTGATGGAAAATGTCCTACAGAGACATCCCAGCAGGCTCTCTCTTGGGGATGTAGGCTTGTGGATGTTGACGATTGTCCCGTATCGGTTCTCGAAGAGGTGTTGTAGATTGTCGTCGAAATTATGTCCTAATTTGTTGTTGAGTTGGTGCGTGCTCTCTCCGCAGTGTGTCGCGCGAGCAGAACAAACCCTATGCAGCAATGGCCACTGATGTACATAAGCAGAGCACCCGATTGTGCAATCTTATAGTCACAGGTCAAAGGCAAAACTCAAGTGCTGCGTATGAGCCTGTACGTGTCCTGTACAGCTGCAGCGCGGCGTACCAACTCACTTCTTGTGCCGCTGGACTCCTAGTACGAGAGGCTTGGCTCTGAGTACGCAGGAAGTCCGAAGGAGAAGAAGATGGGTTGGTGGAAATGTAGTTACTTGATCAGTGGAGACCAGAACGAATGTAGAGAAACAGAGGGGTAGTGAACCTCGGAGAAGTAGAGAGGTTGAGAAACCCCAAATAGGCAGAGGGTTGGAGAACCCCCAAAGAAGCAGAGGGAGAGGATGGGGCGAGTACGCGCTCATCCTCGAGATCATGGAATCACACCCATCCGACAACGTCGACCAATCACACGTGTTCAGAATACGGTACTGGTAAGCTACGATACGTTTCTGGGAAGATGACTTCAACACCATGCTCTCGAACTTTTGCCACGTATGCACATCAAGTATTGTACTTGCACGCACAAGTGATTACTTGCACTGACGTACGACAAACCGCAGAGTACAGCTTCAACAATAAATTGAACTACTTCCGACTGCTGAGCGCATACGAATATTCATTCATTCAAGCACGCAAGTCTGAGTTACTTGCGGCGGTACATATCCTTTATTTCATACACGCAACTTGTGACAACTACCCGATGCATATATACTTCCGAGCACGCAAGTCTGAGCTACTTGCACTATGACAAATTTCTGGAAATCTAGGCTATCCAGATTATTTCTGGGTATGAAACACAGAGCATCAACCATGTCTCCATATTCCGAGTATGACAGACTATACGGAATTTTACCTACTACATGACATAACGACATTGACAATATTTGAACTAGTCAAACTGACTACCTAATGCTGAAGCTACGGTAGTGCCAAATGTTCCAACACTCTCCAGGAAGATGAGACGCGTGAACTACTACTGTGTACCATGTAGTACAGCATTTACTCAGTACTTGTAAACACGACTCATGGATGTGTGGTCTGAACAGCAGGATGTTTTCCAACGGCAAGCAAATCTTCCGTGGCACCACAGCAGACGGGCCTCCTGTTTACCCACACATGTCAAGCTACCGCGTCCTAACGTTCTAAAAATGTCCCGCCGCACACATTTTGCCCGCATTTAACTGTTCCGACGTTCTCCCTGCAAAACAAATAGCACGTGGTGCCAAACAATATGTACTGCCAAACAAATACTGCCTAACACAACTATAAACAACAACAAAATAGTAAAACAAAACCCACACATGAGTAATTGCGTATCATACCCTAAACGACATACAGTACGGGCCCGCAGTTGAGAAAAATTCTGTGAAGAAAAATAGGCTCAAACGAGAAAAAAAGGGCTAAGAAACACACCTCAATCTCGGCCACAACATAAGAGACGTCCCAATAAGAAACATGATGGTGCGATACCCCCAAGACATCAGAAACAAGGGGTAGCGGAAGGAGCGTGCCCAATAAGAAACGTCCTACTGCTGCTCCTTCCGTGTTCCCACCCCCCTACCTAGCTGAACACCCCTTACTTAGCTGAACAGTGCATTTTGGGGGGGGAGAGAGGTGGTTATTATTTCGCCACACCAATGGCCACACCGAGCTTTCTTTCTGGTGAAGCGGCATGATGACAATTTGTTGTATTGTATTCTTTAGCCAAACAAGAAAATATACGAAGTGAGAAGTAAGCAGGATTGGGAGGATGCCACGTTCCAAAGGAATAAGAAATGCCTTTTTTAAGAAATCGGACTACTTCGGCTGGTCCTTGGACTCAAAATATGGATTTGAGGCTCGACCCGAATTTGACGTTTCTTATCTACGGGCCCGTACTGTAGGCAAATGAAAACAATTGCTGTCCCAAGTACAACAACAACATCTCCAGTCATCAAATGGATGAGAAACACATCAAGGTGAACCCTACACTGCATCCTACATGCAGCTGCCCGTCTGTGCTCGACGGTAGCGACGGAATAAGACACGAAGCCTGACGCTGGGTGGTGACGCATTGGCGGACTGGGAGGGTCTCCCACGCTTTCGGCAGATTGTGTTGATTGGTCCATGGGCTGCCCATGAAACGGTTTAAGTGGGGTGCCCACCACATGGAACAAGCGGGTCGGCCATGGAGTGACCATGGGTGCAGTTCCATGGGATGCCCATCGTTTAGCCCAGATTTCGCCTCGGTGTTGACCACGATGGGCATGCCCATTAGAATGTCCAAGATCGGCATGCCCATGAGAATGTCCACGATGGGCCGCCCACAGAAAGCTTACGATCGCACGCTCACCTTGAGCAACCCGTGTGCAGCCCCCCGCTCGTAAGGAATATGTTCGTAAGAAACTTCAGCAAGAATCACCTAAGAAATTGAGCATAGCGGCCGGCTCTACATAAAATAAGAAAATATCCTTTGAGCCTCGCTCAAAATAGGTGTTTCTGAGCGGGCCGGCACTGTATGGAATGATGTCCATCGGATGCCCACCATGGGCAAAACAACGTGGTGTGCCCGCCGCGGGGCCACCCCGAAACGCCCGTCAACAGCAGACGATGTGTGGAATGTGCCCACCATGGGGACCCCCTGACCCTGGCCCTAGCCTCTCGGGACGTCCAACGATTGCCAGCTCGTGCTTCACGGTGTCCCTCCCCGCAAGGCACACCTTAACCACATTTTGGTTCTCAAAACAGAGCATACTGACTATCGATTGCTGGGGAACAGTGCAAACACGGCCGTCGATTGCTGGATGCATGCACGTCTACATAAATTTCTGCGCGCACTGCGTTTGTTTTCACCGGACAAAAGGGCCGAGATTTGGTATTGATTGCAGTCAGGCGTTCTTGCCTACACCGTTGACGGGGTACGCTATTCGTTTTTCTCACGATAAATTGGTGGGGATTTAGCCTGCCCGCCATTTTCACTCCATGAAACATTCGTTGAGCAAGATCCACGTAGGCATGCGCATGGATACCCATGATGGGCATTGGACTGGCTGAGTGCTCACGACAGGCATCCCATGGGAAGCCTCTCATCACAGATGAAGGAACCACTTACTGCGTACGCATAAGGCTTCAACTCCTTCAGCATGATTTTGGAATCATAGTGTAGTGGCAACCTGGTGTGTTCTTGTCCCAAGACCAGCGTCTCTGACTCTCACGCCTTCCCCGCCCCGTGCCTACAAATAGGTCGTCGTGACCGTCTCAACGCAAAGCCAGGAAAACAGCAGCAAAGCCATGCGGGGAAACGATGTCACTACGGCCCTCTTGGTTGTGGCGGGATGCGTCGCCGAGGCCTGGGCCTCAAGCGAGGTTGTTGATCCGACGGCCCACATGATGCGGGGCTTGCTCACCACCGGCGCCACCACCAGCAGCAGCGTCTGCGCGGCGGAAGCAGCGACCTGCATCGCAGACGACGCGTGCACCGAGTGCCACAACGCGTACCTGGCTGCTTTTGATGTGTGCGCGGGCTCGTCAACGAGCTCCAGCAGCCCCACGTGCGAAGAGTTCGTCGCGGTCGTGTGCTGCGCGATCGAACAAGCCTGCAGCGACAACGCCGAACACATGGAAATTTTGGGTGCGTGCGTGCGTGCGTTCACGATTGCTTCTCTCAGAGCAATCAAACGCTGTTTGAGGACAACGTCGACTTGCGTGGTTGGGGAGATACATGTAACTTGATCCCGAGGCAGTTGCGCTATGCAGCGATTTGTCCTGTCACCTCTCGAAACTATGTCATCTCGCCTGCCTGCTCTTTGTCTATAATACTACGTATCGTGTTGTTGGTGTTGCCTTTCTGGCCCCTATTGTATCCCTGGGCGTTTTCAGAACATGTTTGTGCGTGGCACCGCGTTTTGGGGGTTGTGAAGCTATGACCACGGAAGGCATCCGCGTCAGTTGGACCGGTATCATGGTGAAGTCGGAAGGGGTTTCAATGTAAAGGCACCAACAATCCATGGCTGACGAAACGTGTTCTACATGATTCCGCGCTCTCCGGCACGCGGCTAGGAGGCAGGACCCACGACGCAAACTTCGCGTGAATCGTAATATCCTTACTCTGCTGTGGTGCCAACAACGTGATTCGTGCCCCGCGCCTCGTCTTTCTGTGCATGTTTGCTTGTCGATAGACTGCGCATATGGGTACATATTTGGCTATGATACGGGGTGCGACCTGGCCGATTGCTCGGAGGACGGCAGCAGGGCCATTTCCGGGTCCGACACCCCCACCGAATCCACATCCACCATCGATACTACCACCCCCGGCTTCATGGGCGGCTCCGACACCACCACCGACTCCACATCCACAACCGACACTAGTGCCCACAGAGTCAGTGGCGGCTCCGACAGCTCCTACGAACACACGTTCACAACCTACACTACCCCCGGGTTCTTTTCCGACTCCGGCACCACCACCTCTACGACGTCGACGTGGTGCCCCAACGAGTATTTGGCTTGTGTAGGGGATTCGGCGTGCGCAGAATGCTATCAGTCGTTCTGGGACTCCTGGCTGACATGCGATGCTTCGGTGATCAGTGTCGCCTCCTCTAACGGCTGCGACGTACTCGAGGATATCGCGTGCTGTGCGGTCGACGGCTGCCAGGGCAACGAACTGATGGTGGCGTATTTCGGTGCGTTCCTTGTTTTATCGCTGTGTCCTGGCATTCTGGGGGGAGGATCAGCCACCTAGGGCAGGGGATTAGATGGGGTCGAAGCTTCAGCGTCTGGACGTGGCCGTGGCATTGCTTGGCGTCCGGGGGGCGGCCTGTTTTGGCTGTCGAAAAATGAATACTCGGCGTGACTCCCGGCAGCACTGTTGGGACTGCACGTGTTTCGACATACTATACATAATCCAAAATTCTACTGAACACCGTGAATCTGTGTTCATGACGAGTCCCGTCTCCCTCGCCACCGTGTTGTCGCCCGTTCTAATTTCCGCGGGATCAGACTGCGCGTTCGCAGCAGACTCGGAATGTGCTGTGGAAGTTGGGGCTTGTGCGGAGGACGGCAACAGGGCCATTTCCGGGTCCGACACCTCCACCGAATCCACATCCACAACCGACACTAGTGCCCCCGGAGTCAGTGGCGGCTCCGACAGCTCCTACACCGAACACACGTTCACAACCTACACTACCCCCGGGTTCTTTTCCGACTCCGGCACTACCACCTCTACGACGTCGACGTGGTGCCCCAACGAGTATTTGGCCTGTGTAGAGGATTCGGCATGCGCAGATTGCTATCAGTCGTTCTGGGACTCCTGGCTGACATGCGATACTTCGGTGATCAGTGTCGCCTCCTCTAACGGCTGCGACGTACTCGAGGATATCGCGTGCTGTGCGGTCGACGGCTGCCAGGGCAACGAACTGATGGTGGCGTATTTCGGTGCGTTCCTTGTTTTATCGCTGTGTCCTGGTATTCTGGGGGGAGGGGGGATCAGCCACCCAGGGCAAGGGGTTAAATGGGGTCGAAGCTTCAGCGTCTGGACGTGGCCGTGGCATTGCTTGGCGTCCGGGGGGCGGCCTGTTTTGGCTGTCGAAAAATGAATACTCGGCGTGACTCCCGGCAGCACTGTTGGGACTGCACGTGTTTCGACATACTATACATAATCCAAAATTCTACTGAACACCGTGAATCTGTGTTCATGACGAGTCCCGTCTCCCTCGCCACCGTGTTGCCGCGCGCTTTATTTTCCACGGGATCAGACTGCGCGTTCGCAGCAGACTCGGAATGTGCTGTGGAAGTTGGGGCTTGTGCGGAGGACGGCAGCAGGGCCATTTCCGGGTCCGACACCTCCACCGACTCCATATCCACAACCGACACCACCACCACGGGCAACAGTTCCGTCGTCTTCCCGACGACAACGACAACCAGCGCATTCTCCTCCGACTCCGTCTCCATGACAAATGACACCGCGATATGCGTCGCTGAGAACGACGCCTGCACGGCGGATCCGACCTGCCTCGCGTGCGCGGGAGCGATTCTGTCCTCGCAGGAAGTTTGTCAGGGCTCGGACTTCGACTCGGAGACCGCCACGTGCGACGAGAAGCAGGAGGCCAACTGCTGCGCGCTTGAAGGAGGAACCGACTGCGAGAACAACGTCCTGCTAGGCGCTCTGTACGGTGGGTGGCGGTCTGTTGGACCTTGCTCACGTGTGAGAGTGAGAGACAGACTTACTCCGTAAGCGTTTGGACGGTGGTGACTCTACGCTGGGTGAAACCTGCAGCACACGGGTTTCGTCGGTAGTGTATGCTCCTGTTGCCGGGCCGGCGTACACGCAGTTTGTCATGCTGTAGGCTAGGCACTCTGTAGCACCACGGCTGGCTGGCTGTCAAGCGCGTGCACCGGTGGAACAGGCGACTGATCCTGGAGAAACACGTCGCGAAAACGATGCCTCTATTGCGTCCCTTCGTTTTTCTTGTCTCGTTCCCCGTTTTGATCAGATTGCTCGATGGCAGCCGAGGGTTGCACGGGAGCCCTCACCGACTGCCTCGACGGGTCCCGAAGTGCCTCCACCGGAAGCGAAATTTCTGTCGGCGACGACGACGGTAGCGGCGGCGGCGGCGGTGGTTCCACAGGTGGCGGCGACCCATCCCCTGCTCCGGTCGAAGGCAATAACAGCGAGATCGACGACGACGAGGGCACAAGCGAGGTAGACCCTGTCCCCGTCGAAGGCGACGACGACCAGGAAGGGAACTCTGCTGGAGACGCGGACGCAGCGGACCCCGATGCGTCCTCCGCTTCCCCTTCCGCCACGGCGGTGGGAGGCTCCACGGCGGCGACCGGGGCGACTCTTTTGCTGGTCGCTGCTGCCGGTGCACCCGGCTTGTGGCGCCGCTTCCAGTAACCATGCGAGAGAAAATCCTCTGACCGAGCCCGACAATTCGCCTGAACACGCGCAAGAATACGGTAGTAATATTGGCGTACAAATATGATAATAATAACTAAATCGTTGTATCCTACCTGTCCTTAAGTGGTTAGAGCTCCAACACTCGGTGCAAGCTTTTGCAGTACCCCCGCCGTTCGCTGTAGCGGTCTCTCTGTCCAGATCATTGCGCCTGTGACCTTGGCCGGGGAGCATTTTGTGGTCGGGTGTGCTGGGGCGGGAGGCTGAATTTGCTTCTTCGTGGGCGTACTGTTAGGTGATTCGGTTCATGTAGTTTATAGCACTCCCTACAAGTGGTGGCAGCTTGACACACTCCTTCAGTAGTCGTGTTTATTTGTTGGCCGTATTCTGTGTGGCTGGGGTAGAGGGACTATATACCGAAGGCAATTGCATGCGAGGAGCCATCAGTATTTACTTAGCGGGGATTGGTGGAAGCACGTGCAGGCCGTGGTACTCTTGTGTTTTGATTTCTGTTTCGCCCTGAATCTTTGCCCACACCTTCGATAGAGATTATAGACCATGCATTCAATACCCTTGTGTTTCTTGCGAAAGGTGCGTCTTAGACGCATGCCACAAAGGGCGAACGACGGGCGGGACTCCGATGCGATGAAAAGTGAAGCTTCCGTGAGCTTCCAAAAAAGTCACCAGCGCTGCCGATGACGGCCACTAGATTGTCGAGCAAGACAAGCAGGACTATGCATAGAATACGTAGGACTTTGGGCTAGTTAGACCTGAACTTGGATGGGGGTTCGGTTTATTTTGTTCGAAAATGTGCGTATTTTTCATGGTGACTGTGACCTGGGTCCGCCTGTGGCAGCTTTTAAACGGGTCGTTTCAGCGGAGGTAGATGCTGTGGCCATCAATGTAAGACGATGATAGCGCTTTGCTTGCTGCGTGTTCTTCACCCACACATTTCATTTCATTTCATATAATATGGCTTAAGAAGCTCGTCAAGGTTTCAACGTCGCGTTTGTTGAACGACCTATACTGTCGACTGACACGACAACTGCTGGACACTGATGCCGGCGTCGATGCCGTTGATCTGTAAGCTCGCATGGTTAGGGCACAATAAGGTGTCCAAACTCGAAGAAGCCGCAAGAGCACGTCATCATTGCAAGATGTCCAGAATTAGGGACGCGAAAAGAACACGATTATGCCCCGGGGGGTCTTAATAGTTTGGCCCCCTCGCAGGCGAGGTCGATGAGGTGTCGTTCCCAACCAAAGGACACTAGCTTTTAGCAGCAGCAACACACACTACAAAACAACTTTCGTTTTTTGCTATGCAGAGGCAGAGCCAGAAATAAATATCAAGTTGTGGTCAATACGTCGAACAACGAGCTTGCAAACATAGTCGGAGGAGGAACCGTACACAAGACGAAACAGCCATACGACGACGTTGTGTGGCGGCGTTTGGACGAGACATGTCCTGTGTCAACAAACTTCGGTCACAGGTCTAGCATATACACAGCATAATATGTCGTAGACGTACTTCTATCGTTTTGCCACCGACGTACATGTCTGGTTCTTTTCAAGTGGCCCTCCAACACTTGCACGGGAATCCCATACACACATGGCTGTCCAGCGGCGAACAATCTGGAACCACGACACGTTCGTTCGTGGTGTTGCCAGCGTTGACTTTGCCGACGCCTTCGCGTACGGCGTACGCCCGCATTGAGGAGGAATAAAAGCTGTTGATTGGTCCGGCGAGAAACAAAGAACAGACAGTCACACCATAACATAAATGCATACACTTCAAAAAAAATAATACCGTCAAATTCGAAAAGCCAAAATTGAGCGATCTGCTTTCTTGCGAAGCCCGCTCACCTGATGATGAACCGCTACAAGAACTAACCGCTCCACACACAGCAGCAGCATGGGCGACCACCATCCATGCAGAAGAACACCCGTCTACCAACTACTACACAGACGACCACGACCCTCTCCTCGTCATGACGGATTAGTATGTAGGTCTATACTGTTTATACATTGTCTACATATAGCGAGAACATATCCCGAAGCGGACACCAAAAGAGGGGACCCGGCTCCAGCTAAGTCTGCTACGTCCTCGGCGCCATTGCGGACAAGTCAGAGTGCCATAAAATGTACTACAGCAGTAGTAGCGTACGCCTTGGGGCAGATGAATGGACGCGGGGGGGGTTGTGGAAAACCCACACAAGATTCGCGAAGAAGACATGCTGTATCCCTCCACTGCACCAAGCACACAAGCCAGCAAAAGGTATTTCCACCCCGAAGCACTGCAGTCGGGCGCGCGGGTACTGACCATCCCTCGCCATCCTCCCTCTACATCACATACGTCCTCTACTCATGCCCCCAAGGGTTTGAGACCTCCCAGACCACCCAAATTCCATCGACCGTGAGTCAATGTCTGGGACAATCGTACCCACGCGTTCACTTTTTACAACCCAAACACGCCTGACCATCTCGATTTCGAATTTTTTCTTCCCATCAAAGCCCGCCCCCTGTAGCAGCTCGTACCTCATGGAGGGCGTTTTCAGATGGCCATCCCCACGAACAGAGCTGAGTTGATGACCCCGCCGCCAGCAACCCCTCCACATGCATGCTTAAGAACCGGCCAACCTTTTCAACCACAATATCAGACCACAGTCGATCGATCAATCAAACCACCAATGTCGCCGTCAAGTCTGTGTGTATACCCGATCAGCCAACACACTAGCTACAGCAGTCAGTCCACCCGCATCCCACCGGAGTTGCAGTATCACACCCAACCCTGCGGGGATGCCCACCCACGATGTTCTTCGGGCGCGTTAACTCACCGGGTGTGAGTCGTATCGATCAGACTGCACACAACAACCACCCTCTTCTGCAGACCACCACAACAAGAGCAGTCGGTTCGATGCATAGCGTTCGCCACGCCAAAGCACCGGGCTGCCGTCGCTGTTGCCTTGACACCCATACCCCATCAACCTCCCCGCGGCGAGCAACTCAGCACAAAACACTGCAAACCTAAACACACCTTCACCCGGGTCGTCTTGGTAACACAACGCCCCATGTCCGGGGGCGGTCAACTCTCATCCCCTGGTTCCGCGCCCGCTGCTGGCTTCACTCGTGCCCAACGGGTTTTTTTCTCCTCTAACAAGACAGGTCGGCAAGGAACGGCTTTTTCTTTCACATCGACTGCACAAGGCGTTAATCCTCCCAAAAGACACCAAAACACAAACAGAACCTCAACTACCCAACGAATACATGTCCAATCGTGCATGTATGTACATCCATCGGTCCTCGCTATTACTAAACGAGATTTGTTATTATGTGCTACCACTTGTGACGTCCAAAAACTATTTGTACTCACGTTAAGACCCGCGTTTTCGAGTCCTCCACGCACCCCCCCACCCCCCACGCATCCAATATCTTACTGTCACAAGCTTCTTCTCGCGCCCACCGATGCCCGGCAATAGATGCGACACGATACAAATAGGGGGTGACGCAGAAATACATATATATATACGGTATATGCATCCCTCATCCTGGCCCCGCCCCCCCGTACTCCCTGCAAAGGTCGAATACACAGCAGCAATCAGCATCTGCACAAAAAGTCCCACTCGGCTACAGCCGTTGTGCCACCACCATCACAATCACAACCAACCGCAACCGCCGACGCCGTCGCCTCCGCCGCTCCACCGCCACCGTTGCCGCACCGACGTCTCCTTCATTGCCTCTCCGCTTCGCCGCCGGTACTGGCGCCGTCGCCCGACTGGTCGGTCCTCCTCCTTCCACCCCCCCGGCTGCTGCCGCTGCTGCTGTTGCTCGGCGTAGCGCCCGGCGACGACGACGACGACGATGAGAGCGACCCCAACCCCTTGCTCGCCGCCGGCTTCTTCTTCTTCTTCCTCCTCCTCTCCGACGCCGCCGCTACCCGGGGGTTCAGCGCCGTGCCCTCCTCCCGGAGGCCGTGGTAGCAGACGTGAAGGGTCGGGAACGGGGAGCGGGTGAAGCGGTGGTCGAGGGGGCTGGCGTCGCTCACGGCCTCGGGGTGGAAGGCCTCTACGGAGATGTCGTGCTCCATCGGCAGGTGCTTCAGGCCTCTGTTCAAGGTTTCCTGTGTGATTGGGAGAGAGAGAGAGAGAGAGAGCAGGGGCACGTAGTAGGGCGAAACTTGTCTCAACGACAGAGAGAGCGGGGGCGCACGCAATAGGGCGATTTTTGTCTCAACCACGGGCCTCGACCTTCTCTATCCTGTGAGGGGTTCAAGAAAAATACTCAATAGAGGGCTCTTCCACGGCTGTTTGTTTTCTCCCCTCTCTCTGGTGAAGGCGGTGAAACTGGAAACAAGTGGGTCCCACTTACAACGGCTAAACAATCTCCCTCTCTCGACCAACACCTCAAATCGCCAACGTGACCCTTCACAAGCTCAACAACCTACGCAGCTGACCTGTTTCGACCAGAAAAGCCCACGCGACCTCGATTACAATAACCAAAACGAAAAATACAGACATGTCAACAATCTCACGCAGTTGACCTGTTTCGACCAGAAAAGCCCACGCGACCTCAATCAACCAAGAAAAATACAAACATGTCAACGATCTCATGGGCGCAACTTCGAAACGGAATGAAAGCAGGGTTGGGCAGCGTAGGAAGAGGCAGTAGGCCGAGGGGTGGCTTCAGGATAGAGGTGAAAAACACGGTTGCACAGAACGCGGTCGCCGCACCGACAACTCGACTGCGTGGGTTCTCTGGCATGCGCTGTGTGCAAATAAACCCCCCAACTGCTACGTTGTGGTGTGTATATAACTCGTGTTGGTGGATCCGTGTGTCTTCGTTATTTCCGCGCGTCTGTGATCATCCCTCAGAAGAACTGCGAAGATTGTGGCCGCGTGTGGGTGGGACAGACGAGGATGGGGTGAAAGACGCGGGGAGACTCACTTGACTGGGGATCAGGGGGGGGGGGGGGGGGGGTTCTGCTTTGAAGAGGCCGTACATTAGTGCCAAACGCGAACCCGCCTTCTTTCAGAGAGGAAAGAGAAAAACTCGCGCTTGCCTGGAAACGGAGGAACGTGTCCGAGCTGTAGGTGGCGAGGTCAGGCGTCACCAGCAATGCCCCGTAACACGGGGCGGAACTCGAAGTGTAATCTGTCGGCAGCACGGGAATGGAGTCGGCAGGGATGGGGTGGAAGCGGGTCGTTGGTGAGCATGAACCTTACCAGCCAGAGCTGAGAAGGAGCAAAGTAGGACTAGAACGCAAGATCGGGTCCAGCATACGCGATGCAGCGTAAGCATCGTCGATGTCGAGCATCGTTATGTCGAGCATCGTTGATGTAGAGCATGTTTCATGTGCGTCGTTCACGTTGAGCATCGTTGAAGTCGTGCTTCGTCGACATCTCGAGCAGAGTACGCAGTGGGCATGAAACAATAGGGGGGCGTGAGATGGAACACAGAACTCCTTTGCCTTCCACGACGGAGACAAGCAACGACAGCCGTCAACGACAGCGACAACTGCAACAATCACCTTCTGTTGGCACGTCGCATCCCCTGGAGGCAGCCCTATCCGCCATCTCCATGACCACCTCCCACGTGTCGCTGTACGCTTCCTCTGCCGTCTTCGACCTAGCCACGACGTACTGGGAGATCTAATCACGTCCGGCCGGGAACACGACACACGGGGGAAAGCAGCACCAACACCAGCGGCGATGGCAAGCAGCGGTGGCAGCGGTTGCGAACGGCGTTGGGGGTCGGAATAACAGCAGCTGGTGCAACGGCAAGAAGGAACACGCCTCGACTTCGATAGCAACGCTGGACGTGGACTAATAGGTGCGAAAGGCCGCATTAACTCTCGTCATGTTGGATTCGCCCTTTGCGTCTGTGGGCAACAATCGTCTCACATGCTCCACAGGGGGTGCAGCCACGGACAACGGGCAAATGGGGGGGGGACTAAATCTGAGCCACATCACAAGGAAGAATGCGCTTGCTCCCACATTTTTCATCCTCTTGACCAGCTCCTTGCCCGGCAGCAGCGGCGGCTCAGCCGCTTTCCCGGAGGCCTCTTCGTCGCCGCCCTGCCCCTCCGTCTCAGCCGCCAGCTCCTCGACGGCCACACCCCCGTTAACGTTGTCCTCTTCCCGTGTTTCCAACAGCTGCGCCTCCACGGAGATGTCTTGGCTACCGCTAGCACCGGCATCGCTATCGCCCCCGTCGCCGCTTGCGGCGGCGGCGGCGGCCGGGCGAGACTCTTCTCGGTGGTGGTGAACCGTAACGAGTTCCGCCGCGTGCGCGAAGGCCTGCTTGATCCCGCCGGCCACGGTGGTGGTGGCGGCCCTGAACCTGACGCTTGGCGTGTGGTGCCGAGGTTGCGTGGACTGCTGCTGCTGCTGTTGCTCGCGGTTTTCGTTCTCGTCGCTACCGCTTTCCGAGGAGAGGTGGGCGTCGGGGACAGCCGTAGCGGAGGCGGTACGCGAAGCAACCGAGGAGGACGTCCTCCCTGTCGGAGGCGCCCGGCGTGGGGAGGGGGGGGTAAGCTCGCTCTTAAAGGTGCTGATGGGTGTTGACCAGGCATTCATCACTTTTTGAGACGACACAACTGCACCTCGAAAACGACAACTCACAGACGTAAAATAGTCTCCGCGACTGTGCCACGCCACCCCCCAACACTGCCCGACGGAAATGAAGAGGCCGCCGCTTTTGTCCCCCAGGCCCCGGGCAACACGATGATAGACAAGAGGAACTAGACAATCACGGCACATACACACAAAGCACCGAGAAGCACGCCACAAAGCACCGAGACGCACGCACCGCTTGTTGTTGTTGTCGTTGTTGTCATCCTGGCGGCTGCGCCGCGGGCACCGCCAGCCGCTGCTGCCGCTTCCTCCTCCTCGAGAGCGGCCGCGGCGGCAGCAGCTATTGCTTCGGCTGCCGTCGGGGGGCTGAATGACGTCGACCTGAGGCGAGGGGGGGTACAAAACGTTTGACCGCAGCGGGGTCAGGTGGCTGCCTTGCTGCGCCTTGTTTCTTCTGCTGATGCAGGTTCCACTTTTGTTGCTGGGGCTGGCGTTATTGAACCTGGGAGCGGGGGGGGGGAGATCGACACAAAAAAAAAATGCAACTTGGTAACAGCTACCGAACGCTTTCCGAACACCGACCAGTGTGTGAGGGCTGGTTCAAAAGTGACGAGAAAAAAATAACACCTTTCCGTATCGAGGCCGCCGCCCGTTCCAGTTCGCGAGTAGAGGGGACGGCCCTTCCCAGCAGACATGACGGCTGCGAGCGCGGACGAGGGCGGTGGCGAGGTGGTGGTGGCGGCGGCCGTGGGCGGGGACTGCTTCTTCTTGCCGTCCCCTGCCTCCGCCGTCGCCGCTTCCTCCGCCTTAAGCGTGGCCGCTGCCGCATCGCTAGCGGCCGCGTCCTTAAGCACCTCCGTCAGCCACTCCTGAAACCAAACACGAAATGCTGCGTCAACCGACGCTTCTTGGCACGATGATGATGAACCAATCACACATGTTGTATCTCCCGCCAGGAGCGGTTCCGCCGCACACGCCAACAACACCGTACATGAACCTCGGCACACCAAGCAACGCCACAACTACCAAGACATCGAAAAAGGCAACGAAAACAACAGACAAGAACAAACAGCACAGCAGCGCAGCGCAGCACAGCACTACCACTACCACTACCACTCGTCCCGTGACGGCATCCATACACAGCAAGCAACACGACAAGCGAAAAAAACAACAACAACAAAAACAACATCAACAAAAAACGCGCTCGTCTACCCACCTGTGTGGCTTGCAATATTTCCACGCTACTCTCCGGGACCCCCCTCCCCGCAAGAACATGCTGGTGAGCCCACATCGAACTCCCGACCCCGTGTTCCGCCTCTTCCCTGCCGTACGACGCCGCCATGCCGTACGCGTGCTCCAGCGAGGACCTGAACACCAACAAACGCCCCCACCCAGGAGTCAGGTCCCACCGAGAAAAAAAAAGTACGGCAACACCGTTGTTCACCGTGCAAAAAGCGAGACGGCATGAATTGCCTTGCTTGCTGCAAAGAGGGTCATCCATTTGATAGTATTGTAACTTTCCTGTCCGCCGCGCTTACGGTCCCCCCTGCAATGGTCTCGCCGTCTTCGTCAACCATGAAGGGTTTCGCTTCGGAGACACACAAACAAAAACAACAACAACAACAGCAGTAACGGCCACAACGAGAGTGCGCGGCGCTCAACATTACCTCGTCTTGGCGGCCCACTCCTCCTGCCGTATCTTCCGCGCGATCTCGCTCTTCTTACGGTCCTCTGGGGAGGGGTCTGCCCTCAGGGGGGCGGTCCGAGCAGGGGTTGACTTGACCCGCGTCCCCTGCCGAGCCTCGGCCTCCTCGGACGAATCCCGGATCGACGCAAGGCTCTTCAAGCCTCCCTTCCTGTAGGGGCATCGATCGTTCGTTGTCGTTGGTAATGTTGTTCCTTGTCTTCGCTGTCTCTCGCCTTGTAGACGAACCAATGAATGAGACAACCACATGTTCAAACGCCGTTCAAGTACTTCGACAAGAACGAAACAGTAGTAGAAAAAATAAATATCTTTCTCGCACATTTCTTAATCTTTGTGCGACGTACTTACCCAATCGCTGTCGTCGATTTTATTCAACAATCCCTCGTGCTAGCATATGTATACAGCACAGCACGAACATTCTTGTTTTTTGTGTTGTTATTTTTCTCGCACCTGTAGACGACGTCGATGCTGAAGGCCGGGTGGGGAGAGTGTCTGGAGGCCATGCGAGACTGTTTCGGCTTGGGGCGATGTCGGTAGTTCTGCCCCCCCGCAACCACGAGATATCAACGAACGAAAGAGAACAACGATCGGCGGTGAGGGCGGTGATCATCGACACCCGAACAGACCGGTGTACGGGTACGTAGACCGGGGTACCGGTATATATTTCCCCGCACGGAGAATCACACGCGCGCGGTAGCAGGAAGAGCCGCAACTGCTCATCGAACCGTCAACGAAGCTGTGATCGAACGCTTGCATCGAGGGTGGAGAAAGCGATCGATCACGACACAGACTGATTGTGAGAATGAAGAAGAAAAAAAAAAAAACATACCGGGTGGTAGTGTGAGTGCGTGATGTACGTGCCGAAGTCCTGGCAGCCTCCGTCGCACGCGCTCTGCTGAAGCAGCTGGTGCGCGTGCTCCATCGTCTCATAGTCCCTCAGCTCCTGCCGTGCGGTTATGGTGTACACAACGGCAACAGCAACAACAACAGCAACAGCAACAGCAACAGCAACAGCAACAGCAACAGCAACAGCAACAAAAGTTGGCTTCAACAGACTAACACTAAGCCCAGTATCCAGCTGGTGTTCTTCCCATTCACTGCGAAGCCAAGACTTCCACACACACCCTTCGACTGTGGTTACATCTCGAACGGGTAGTCATGTGTGTTCATTTTCTACAAGCATTGCCTCACTCTCTCTGCGTCACAAAAAATCGCCGTGTACGTACACACACGTCCGTCAGCCAAGAAAATATTCACACCAAGACCCCGTCGTCGTCGTCTCGGAAAAAAAAAAAAAATCACCTCGCAGAAGGGGGCCACGAACATCAGGACCTTGCGGAAAGAACGGTTCTCGGGCGTGGCGCGGTGCTGGTCGATGGCTCCCGACACCGCCTTCCAGAAGTCGAAGAAAACCTCGGGGAGGCTCGTCCCCTCGCTCACAATGTACTGCGAATGTTGTCGGACGGAGAGGGATGGTCCCGTCGTTCATTGTCTTATCCTATCTCCGGAGATAGACGCGCTGCGGCGTTTTCGGCCACGAACACACGCCCACCAAAGTATACCCCTTAACCACAAACCAATTCCTTTGCCGTGGCGACAAGATGAACATGGTGCAATAATCGCTTTCCGTCAGCGAAACGATGCGTTCACAGTTACCCTAACGGCAGGCATCATTCATGATACGATGGGCCAGCTCAGGCTAAACTTCACCGCCCCGTCCTCGACGGCAACAGGCACAAGTGGCGGTGGGTTTTGCAAGCACAAAACGGTCACCCCCCTTCCCTCCCCTCTCCGAGTCTACCTTAGTGTTCCTGCTGCTGTGGGTGTCGAAGGTAACGACCTTGGTCCACTCGTTCATCTCGGAGATGATGCTGGTCGTGTCCTTCACGTCGGGCTTGCTGCTGGCGAGGAGAGGCTGAGGGCACAACCGCCTCCTGCCGCAGCCGCGGGTGGCCCCGCCGACACCCCTGTGGCGCAAGCACCGCGGAGGAAGACATTGGTCTCTGATCAGAAGTCGCGTCCGAAAGCACATGATGACATGCATTACGATTGTGTCGATTAAGAGCGTCTTTGGGTGTATTCCTGAGTATCCCCGTGTTTTCTGGAAGACAATCAATCCCGTCGTGTCAGTTTTTCTGTCTGTATCTGCAAGGCGCTTACATGCTTGTCACGTGATCCAAGAGCCAGAATGAAGCAAAACAACCAAAAAACACCGAACAAGCAAGCCGCAACACAGCGGCATGGACACTGTGACTGCAAGGCGTGATTGTTCATGCCCTCCCCATGCACCGACAAAGAGCCCTTCTGCCTCGTCCTCTACCAAAAACAACCCGGCGATTTCGGCGCGGCCCTTACTCTCTCGATCGTCATTTCCGTGAACGACAATATTGGTCGAATACTTCATCTCGGGGCATTAAAAGCGTGGTATCACGCTGTAGCCATCAAGGGACCGCTGCCGGAATACCAAACGAACAGGAGGGGGGGGGCGGATCGAGGGCAAGCTCGGGAGTAGCGGGCCAGAGTTTGCGCAAAAAAAAGTCGCCGAGAATCAAACTGTTTACAAAGATGGTGTCAAAAGTCGGGCCAAGACTCGCTTCGAAAGTGCACTGGCAAACAAAGTTCGTCACACCATGCTTGGATCAATCATACCCAGGAGCTAAAATGATTGAAAAGGCCTGGGCCTGGCAATCCCCCGCTCGCGTGAGTTATCTCATTTTCGTGACAGGATCATTTTTCGGTTTCGGCTGGAAACCCATCGAACGCAATCGCAAGCGTTTCTATTCACCAGAGGGAGATGTCATGAAACCCTGACATCGGGCCGG